AAGTGTACTACCATTTCAGCACAAGACTGGTGCCGCCTCGTCTCGACTGATTTAACTAGGGCCACCTTTTTGACGACGATTGCGGGCATCACTTCAAAGACTTCACTGTCTTTTGAGAAAACTGTGAAAAACCGATGAGCATTTTAAATGGTAGTATTCCCTCCAACAAATGCAATGTTGGTTTGGTGGGCGGAAGTTGTAGCTCTCAGCAAGAATTTTGAAGCATTTGGTACACACATGCGAATTTGCACACTGGACCCAGGAATTTTCAAAAAAAAGTATAAAAATTGGGGGAAAGTTAAATTGTGAACCAACAATAGAAAACAATAAGCAACATATTTCGCAGTATTAATGAGCAAAAAGGACTTTCTGATATTGATTTTCCATAGTAATCGGCCCCAAAACTTCCTGAACTCAGAAAAGCGACACTAAGATATCCGGTACCTAATACCTGAGAGCACCATGTTCACTGGGGATAAAAACTGTGAGTTCTTTGTCCAGTTTTCCTAAACAACAATAATACGTACCCACATGGCACAAGGACGTAGTCGCGTGAAGTGTCTCCTGACCGGCAATGGTCCACAGGACATGGACTGTCTCGAAATCTCGCATACACGTAACGCTTCGACTAGAAAAATAAATTTAAAGTCAGGTGGTACAATAATTGGATGTAGAAGAACGAAATCGGTTTCCTGCAGGAGGCTAGGTCCCCAGTGAAACGGAATGTGGCGAAGGACACGCATCCAGTGACGCAACTAGATCTGACCCGTCTTTCTAGACGCCTTCATGCCTCCGCATTCCGTTACACCACTTGCTGTCGGACCGAAGCCTCTTTAGTGAGGTTGATCTGATTGTGAGCCTCAGAATCGTCACCGCGAGATCAAGTATGCAAAAAACGGGTCCTATTGCCCGCGTTTCGTGCCATTTTCTTTTCCATGACTGCACAAATTATCACATCAACTTCCAGTCCCAAAGAGTCCACCATTTATTTTATCAGTGGACGGAGGAGGGGTAGCAGTGACGAAAAGAAACATTCCGGAGAGAACCTACTTGTTTGGGAACAAATCCAGCAGATCAACAACTGCTTTGCTTTCATCCATTTATTCCAACATTTTGCGCACATATAATGTCCACATTCCGTCACGACCATCTGAAAGGACAGCATTCCAGACAGATCTTGAAAGATATTAGAGACACTTAAGTGAGAGCAATGGAATTTGGAGTGAACTTTTAGTAAGTGCGTCGTCTCGAATAAAAGAGCTTGGCTTCCATGCATAACACACAGTAGTCCAAGTCCTGTCATTAAAGGGTCGAGGTCAGACAAAAAAGAATTTATCCAGGAAACTATATGCGCCATGCGCATTATCGAGCAACAGCTTTATGGTGAAAAGACTACCAGAAGCAAGACGGTGTCGAAAGGTTAGCGAAGTTGTGAACACGCCCTTGATCAGTTCGCTTCCCGTCCTGAGTCGAAATCTCTTGAGATGTAGACATTGTAGTCTTTGCTGTTTTCATCGCCTTTGGGTTACCGCCATTGATCTTCCTCATTCTTTCTCAACCCGAGCTGTATTCCATGTCTTGCATCAATAGATCCGCGCAAACCATTGAAGTTGAATACTCGTATTCGATTCTGAGCGTCAAGCCGCTTATCAATGAAAGTATCACGAGATATGCTGAACGTGATCCAGTATGTCTTATGGCGCCGAGTGATCTCGCTGGTGCAGGCTATCACTAAGGTGGATGTCATGCTTGGCAAATTCACAACCCGGACAGCGATGTCGCTCTTGCGTCTGTGCCATCGCTGAGTCTATAACCTCACACAAATGTTCCTTATTTATTAAGTTTCACGTATAGGGTTCGAGCCCAATAGAATGGAATTGTTGCACCTACAGTTGGATGAATACATATCTCGACGTCTGACTCACCTCACCGACACAAAAGATCCTGGTAGCTAACAATCATGCTTGCTGGCTGCTTATAAGTCAAATTTAATTGGGAGACCTAACCATAAGGTAAAAGAATTGAGAATTGCTTCTCCCTTTAAGTACTCTATACCCTAATGAATCTATATATCCGAACGTAGCAAAAAAACTGTAACATACCCTATCTTTTTCATCATCGTAGCAGCTACTACAATGCCGTAAAGATCGGGGAGTACCATTCAGGACATAGTCAAGATACAAGTCGTCTCTCAACACGACAAAATTCTTCTGAACAGTAACTAGAGAAGCATTAACACGAAAAGTTGATTGTGAAGCAGTAGAGGTAGATAACAAATAAATAGAGATCACCTTCGCTGATTCTAGGATAAAGGAAATCTTGACAGATGGATCAAATCGAGTGCGAAGGCAACATGTCCAGTCCTTCCTGTCTTTGCCTAATCTGAAACATGATGAGTTATTAATTTGGAACATAATGAATGCTGGTAGCTCCACCTGGTTTCGAGTATACTTTTAAGAATGAACAACCATTTTTACGAAGTAATAAAAAAGACATATACTTTTCATTTTGAAGTCCTAACACAAAGTCATCTACCGATGTCATAGAGCTTATCCAGCGTATAACGATATAATCAATCGTTGCTCAAGACCAGAGTGAATAACGGTCGAGGAAATCCTCGACCATGGCTCTGTACTGAGAGTAGTGCCGAGAGTGAACATACGCGCGGAGAGCACAGACGGCTCGCGCATGGCGAGTGTGAATGTCCGCGCGGGAGAACGTAACTGATCAGGCGAAAATCCTCGACGTGCCGTTGAGGAATCCTCGACCGATATTCACCCTGCTCAAGACTACCAAAAGAATACCTAACGACTATATGACTGGCAATGACGCTGTTTTAAGAAAACTATGATAACATCTCAACAGTTTTTCTTTTTAAAAAGCATTTCACTTGAGCCACTACAAGCGATGAAAGCAAATGATGCATGCACTATCTCACCGAAAATACAAGAAATCTCCAATAATTCTGAACTCAAGCTGGACAATGTCTCCAGAAGCGATGTCTCCCTTCCTTAACCATTTAGGAAGGCGCTGTCGACCAAAACTAAAAGACGATAACTGATCCATAAACAATTCGCTAAACAAACTATTCACATGAAAAGAAAGTAGTGAATCTAAACAAATGTAATTAGTAAATTTGAGACTGCTTACTTGAAAGATAGGTAATAATTTTTTAGCTGAGCAATATCGATTTCCCAGACATCGTCGTAGTTGTAGGAGGCAAGTCCCATCATGGGAACACGCGGAAGATCTTTCTCGAAAAATTTCACATATTGGAAGACATTATGCGCACAAGTTCGTTCCTATCAGTAATTCACAGCGGTAATAAATAAGACTACAAAAGTGAATACTAAGCGTGTCCCAACTGTCGAAGAGCAGCGGAGAGCATCAGTTTCACTTATGTTTCGCTACCTAACCTCAAGTTTTCAGCTTGGATTTGGAGACCTTTGTTGCAAAACAAATGGGATATGCTACTATTATTCACTGTTTGCGGTGATGTGAGGTTAACAATTTATTTACTCATTTCTTCACGTCTTGACGGTTGACGGACTACTTGAACTCAGCCCTTTACCGCCTCTGCGCTCTCTAGCGGGTCCCTCTCCTCTCCAAGGCTTAGTCCTAGGGCATTCTCTAATCGTCTGTGCTCTAGCCATCGCGGCAGGACCATTGAGGAAAAATCAAGTAGTCAAACCCCAAATGACGTGCTCTTACGTCAGAGAGGAAAGGTAAACAATTCTAAATATAAACAGATCGAACGGCACGTTGAAACTCTTACATGAGGCTTCATTTGTTCCCTTCATCCGTTCTTACGTTGTTCACTGGCGGAAGGAAAGATACGTATGGATTAGGCGTATAAGCAAATAGGCACCAGGGTTTCCTTCTACTATATAAACCGCTAACTTGGTGTGTCGGTTTGTATGTATGTGTGTGTGTATGTATGTATGTATGTCCGTTTGTCCGTCCGCAAAATGAAGTGATAAGGAAGCTCATGGTAGAACAAACCGCTGTCGATATCGCTTAGCGCGCAGGACTTGGGCTATCAATAGTTGGCAGTGGCATGTTGCATTTGCATGCTATGCAACTGTGATAACACTCCATCGGCTCTTATAACACCTACTGAGCATGCTCCCGGTCATTCCTCAAGGGACCAATCTGGTATCTGAATAAAGGGAGAGCATTCGCAATGCTTCGCGCCGCTTACAACAATCCCAATTTTTGCAGAGAAGAAAGCTCGGGGGGTGCGCTAAAGTATTTTTCTTCAGTGTTCACACTTACCTGA